AGTCACTTTTAACACTGACCAAAAGCGGTGGCCACGAGATGCAACAGGAGCTACCCTTTGGGTTCTTGGAAGCAAATGGAATGAGCCACATTCAGTCCTGGGTGCAATTCCACTGGAGAGGAAGGAGGTGCATACAGAAGTGCCTGCATGGGGAGGAGAAAGAGCACTTGCATCACACTTCAGTCTCCTAGGCAGTGCAAGGTAAAAAAGCAATTTGAACACTCTGTGACAGAGCTAGACTATAATCCTTCAAGGTACCTCTGCAATACCTGCCATCCAAACCACAGAGCAAAACATAAACAAGGGGGATAACATCATGGATCACATCCTGTTCCTCCTGAGTATGGCCCAGATTTCTACCTCTGCGCAAGTGTTTGATTTCACTGTTGTGCCAGGAGCAATCTGGGACTCCAGCCCTGTTCCACATGAAATAATGGAAGGAGTTGGACGTGCAGTGCACAAAGCACTGAGTTGCTGCCAGAGCCCTGAAAGGAAGATGTGTTGCCTAAAGTGCCCCTTGCTATTAGGCAGTGCTGCTGAACAAATGGAGCAATGTATTTTGGTGACATCTGCAGTACAAACCTGCAAGCTGCATTACACTACAAAGCATGCTGAGCTCCCACCGGTTTACTTCGCTGCTAACAGTTTGCTCAGCATGGAGCAGATTCATCCCCCCTACCGAGGTCACTAAATTATGTTTCTGCATTAAGGTCACCTTACATATGTTCTTTTGCATCCACTTGTAGGCATATCAGTCGGACCACATAAATGCACAGGTGTGTGCTTGTACAGCAGACAGTTTTAATGAAAATATGAATGGAAATTTTCATACTCTCATTAATGTAGCCTCATTGTGCAGCAAAAAGGATTTTTTCTGAAGATTTGACAAAATATCTATTTTGGTCAGACATTGTGTGAAATATTGGTGATGGGTGCACGGTTGGACTGGATGACCTTAGAGGTCTTTTCCAACCCTGGTGAACAGAAGTAAACTCTGATCATGTGTTTCAGTTCAGTTTTTAGGCTGAGGATAGGAAGTTAGCATGAGGAAACTCAAAATAACTGTCTTACAGTGGTTCTGACTGGTGGATTTTAAGTAAGTAAAAACCTCAAGACTAGGTGTTGCAATGTATCACGCTTGTTTAGCACTTTAAATTAATTACATGATTTTAGGACTTCCACTGTGCCTGGTGTTGGTGCCGTGTATGAGGGGGTTCAAGATGCTTCCAAAGTGATCGGTACTGAAACGCAGCTCCTGCCAATGCTGAACTGGATGTTTAAGGTTCCTTCCACCCATCATGCAACTGATGCCTCTTGGAGTAAGGGGATTGTGCTGATTACACAACGAGCTCAAATGGGGAACCTCAGCCATCCAGGAATCCTAGAGGTGATCATGGACTGACCTGAAGGTAGAAAGTTTGGAACAGCAGCAGCAGAAGAAGTGGTAAAGAGGCCCCACCATACAATGAACAACCAGAAAATGAAAAGAAATTTGCCCTGTTCACTGATGGATCATGTTGTACTGGGGGGAAGCATCGCAGATGGAAATCTGCTGTGTGAAGCCCTACACAACAAGTTGCAGAGGCTACTGAAGGTAAAAGAGAATCAAGCCAATTTGCAGAGGTAAAGGCTGTCCAACTGGCCTTACGTGTTGCTGAACAGGAGAGGTGGCCAATGCTTTATCTTTATACTGACTCATGGATGGTGGCAAATGCTCTATGGGGGTGGTTACAGCAGTGGGAGCAAAATAACTGGCAAAGAAGGGGTAAAACTATTTGGGCTGCTGAACTGTGGAAAGGTATTGCTGCCCGAATAAAGAATATGGTTGTCAAGGTGCGCCATGTAGATGCTGATGTGCCCAAGAGTCGGGCTACTGAAGAACAGCAAAATAACCATTGGGTCTGGAGAAACAAGTCCTGTGGTGACATGGCACTTCAGAAAGAACTGAGTCAGATAATGGGATTCATTTCAAAAATTCACTTGTGGATACGTGGGCCAGAGAACGTGGCATCAAGTAGATTTATCATATCGCCTATCGTGCACCAGCTTCTGGTAAAATTGAATGATACAATGGGTTGTCAAAAACTGTGTTGATGGCAGAAAATCTAAGCACTGGGAGAAGCATTTGGCCACCTGGTTGGTCAACGCTCGAGGATCTATCAGTCGTGATGGTCCTGCCAGCTCCCTACATGCTATCAAGGGAGAGAAGGTCCCTGTAACACATGTGAAGAGCACGATGGGAAAAGTGGTTTGGGTCTTTCCATCTTCTGGGAAGGGCAGACCTCTTCGTGGAACTGTTTTTGACCAGGGACCTGGGTCCACTTCGTGGGTGATGCAGAAAAATGTGGATGTTCAATGTGTACCACAAGGGAATCTGATACTGGGGGAGTGCAGTCAGTAATTCCATGTATATATATATACATATATCTATGTGTGTGTTTAATGCTTATTAATTATTGTTTTTTGTTTGTACATATTAAGCATGATGTAGTGATATGGAATAAGGGGTGGAATGTCATGCTTTTATGATTTTTGGTTTTGTCGGTATTCCACATCATAACATCATGTAGTGCTCAGGGAGTTAAAGAGTTAATGCTCCAGTTCCGGGTACCTGTCCCAGAAGAGAAGAACTACATACCCCAGAGGACTTTGCATTCAGAGAGGAGATAAAATGCCTGGCAAAGTCATGGAACCTCACCCTCCTCCATTTTGCTCATCCCGACTGCACATCTTGCCTCACCATTAGAGTGAGGCCTTTGGCTTTTGGACACTCTCTCACATTATATTTGATTTCTGAGCTTCAATTCTAATTTTATTGCATTATAGTGTGTTATCCTGCATTCCAACATCTTATTTAGTAAATTAGTTTATTTCTCCTTGGATTGTTGCTGCTGTTTTATTTTAGGCCCATCCCTCTATCCTTTTCCCTTATCTCTTTCCAGGGCGGGAACCATAGGTCCCCCCACCCTGCTAGTCACAGAACCAGGCCAAATCAGCTCATAAACAATCCCTTGGATGCCTTCCTGCTAACAGAAGGAGCAATTCTGCATCTTGGCCAGTAGAAGTGACAACATTTTCCTTTAGATTTTACCAGTTAAGAAGGCAATTTCCAACATGGTTTTCCATTTTCTAATCTAACAAGCAATCATTTAGAAAAATACTGAAGATCAGAGAGAGATCATAGAATGGTTGTAAGGGTGCTTTGGGGTCACCTGGGCCAACCCCTATTCAAGCAGCTCAGCCTAGAACTGGTAGCCCAAGACCACGTCCAGATGGTCTTTAAAGATCTTCAAGGAGAGAATTATCAATCAGAGATGAGAGGCAAAAGAAAAAAATATATAGAACAGTCACAGAAAGCTACTTAGTGAATGGAAACATTATAGAAGCAATTATTATGTGATAATCCAGTCATAGGCAGCTAAATTGTTCTGTATGGGCGTTTTTGTAGGTGTGAATAAAGTTCTGGGAGACGGTTCCTCAAATTTCTGTAGCCAAAGAGAAATCCTTATTTTTTCTTGGCATAACTGAGTATTTCAAGGGATCTTGGTTTTCCAGCACCACAGAAGAGTTTGAGGTTTGCTTAATAGCCTGTAATAAGCAGTCATACTTTACACACACACTCCAGACCCAGCAGATGTGCTTTCGCGATGATGGCTTCTTGTTATTTCAGCCTCTGTGCCCCAGCTTTCCTCCGAGGACCACTGTGGGGCCTGGCCCAGAAAAAGTGCTGCATGAGAGCTGCAGCGTGAGAGCCAGCTGCAGCCATGTCATCACCAGCTTTCATCAGCCCCAGGTGAGGACTGGTTCTCATGCTGGTTCAGAATTTCAGAGAAGAAAAAAAAAAAAAAAGGGTTTTACAGTCACTTCACAAAAGCCCTGAGGCCACCCATCCATCCCTAAGCAGTGTGTGGACATTCTCACAAGCCCAGGTGCTGGACTTGCATCATCAAATGCAGGGTTTGCTGGTAGGTTAGGACCTCGACCTTGACTCCCAGCCAAAGGGGGAGCACAAGCAGTTGACCTCCAAGCTTAGCTGCCCCTTACCAGGACTCCTTCACGTGTAGGCGGATGTGTTTTCTTTTCTGAGGTGGGTTATTTTAAGCCTATGTCAGATGCTGTCAGTCACCAGCCTAACAGAACTGCTCGGACCCTTGGCTTTGCTTCTGGTGCCCCACAAGGAACTTCACAAGCCGCCCACAGCCCTATTGGCATACGGCTATCACCACTCCACTCCCCAGACATCTTAGGCTAATAAACTGGTAATTGAAAGGCGAGTTCAGCACTGCTGTTTGCAGAGAGCCACGACTGCTGAATGATTACCCCAGCAGGCAATGCTGCAGAGGTGTCGAAAGAGTCTATTAGTCTGCTTAGTCTAAGGCAGTACAGAGTGTTAGGGTAAGCTCTCCACAAACAAAACTCCCTTGCATACGACACAAGAAGAGCAGTATGTGGGGTGCTCTTTTCTGCACTGTCACCTATTGGGTTGTGTTCAGAGAAGCATCACACATGCGCAGAGCTAGGTGAAAAGGACTGGAAGTGCAGGTAAGGATGCAGCAATCCATCCACCTGGGTTTTAGTTCACATGATGGGGGAAAGGCACAGGAAGGGGAAGATTGCTGCTGCTTGCTAGCAAGGAGCTGCACCCATCCTGCAACATAGTGTGTCTCTAAGACTTATTCCTACTGGCTAAAAGTCATCCAAGGACACAGGCCATCCTCAGGAAGAGATAAAGATCTCCATAAGTATCCTCAAATATCTAGCCATCAAGCAATATTTTATAGAACACATTGGAAGCATTTTAAATAGCTTTAAATCAGTGTACAAGATGTTTTACCATATCCAGGTTAGTGCATTCAAGTGGACTCTCCCTCCTCTCTCACCTCATCTTTTTTCTCATCAAGAGGCTGATCTGACATCATTCACAAGTTTGGAATTAGCCTTGTTTCTGTTTTATCAGCTCTGCTGTCACCATGGTTCTGGAAGCGCTCAGGTCACCTCGCTCCCGGTTGCTCTGACACAAAAGCAACAAGACACCGAGGGCTGCTTTGAGAAAAAGAAGCTGAAATCCTACAGGAGAGCAAATAGCGCAAAAGGTAATCCTTGCTGTCTGAAGGAAGAGATTTCACTGAAACTTTACCTCAGGTTAATATTTTAATTGGGAACCTCGGTTACTCAGTCACTCGGTTACAGATGGAAAATCTGGCTTTGGGAATGCTGGAGTCAAAGTTGTTCTGCTTCAGTCCAGCATCCCTCAGTGCAGAGAAACCTGGACAACCCAGACCAAGTCAGATCTGGCAAAATCAGGGATAATTCCTCATTATTCTCCTGCTGATCTCAGGTGCCATCCATGGAAGTTAACAGAGAGATACCAGTTGGTACTGTAAGAAGACCAGGCCCTTGAAACTCAACTAAGGGCACATAAAAGCGAGCACTGCCCAGGGCTTTTAGGAGCAGCAGGCCAGCCATATGAGTGGGAAAGGCCAAGCTGGTGGCCCTGGAGGCAGCAGGCTTTTCCCCAGCCAGCAGCTATCCATGGGGAACCAGCATTACCTTTCTTAAGTGACCAAACCACCACAGGGGAGTTGAGTTGCTCAGATTCCACTTCTGAGCACAGAGTCCATCTCTTTTCACTTTCTCCTCCATGATTAGAAGCACAGACTGCTGCAGAACGCATCCCTCAACACAGCAGTGTGGCTCAGGAGTTGTTTCTTCACAGGGAGGCCCCCCCACTGCTGTCAACCCGTGTTATGGCTCAACAGATCCTGCCTTGTGATTCTGCCCAGTGAGGATGCCCTGTGGCATAAGCTCACCATATGACTGCATGCTGTGCACATTGAGGTAACCATGTGGAAGAGCTAATTACAAGACAGGAAATTAGAGCACGAGCTCAGAGGAAGCAATCTTTCAGCATGCAGCAAACCCAACCATGCAGTACTTAGCAAGTGTGTCTCTGGAAAGAAAACTGTCTGCATCAGAAGTACATGGGCTAAAAATCTCCCTTTCTCTCTCAACTTCTGCTGTTGCACAGCTCAGTGGAAGTCTAAGCAACATTGTCTAAGATAAATAGGAGCCTCCCTCATTAACAGTTCAGCAGGATGCTCAAGCACACTCTTAAATTTAGGCTCATGGGTGATCTTAACGACTTCAACAGGATGGCTTGCATACTTTTTATTAGGCATGTGAGTGAGAACCTTGCTGAGTCACATCCAGAAGGTTCATACTTTCTTCAAGATCAAAGGCAGCATGCTAGCTCCTACAGCCGAATCCACATGGCTGCACATTATTTGCTTTACACTGACTACATTTGAGTGGGATGAAGTCCAATCTGCAAGCCAAATTAAGCTCTCTCCCTCTTGTGTTCTTCTGTATTTATTTCTTTTTTTGTTGTTGAGCATATCAGCAGAAGAAGCTGACTTTTGACAATGCAGAGATTTGCAAATGAAATGCTGGAATAGTTTGCAAGTTGCTACAGCACTAAAATACTAAAAGGCAATCTGCAATACGGCTAAGTGAGATGTTAAGAGAGTTAGAATAATGTTTTCACTGGCACTAAGACACCTATGATCCCCCACCCTGAGGTTTAGAAAGATGAAAGTACACTCTGCCAGACAGCAATTCCTTTTGACTTGAGAGTCTACATTTACTACTGTTTGCTTTGAAATCTCTATAGCAGAAGGACAGAATAGCAAAACATCTTTGAAATATCTTCCTCTTCTGACCTGCCCCCATCCAAATTATCACCAAAGCAAAGGCTGCACGCACCACTCTCCCTAGCTCAAAGAGGAGCTCAAACAATGTCACTGTCACAAGAAAATGGGCTTGGATAGAGGCTGCAAGTAACAAAAGCTTGCTTTTGGCCTGCTAACTTTGCAAACACAGCTCTGGGTCAAGGGGTGAAAACATGTAGAGCTGTCAGATCATGTTGGGTTCTCAGTGGATCAGCTGCGACTTGGGGAGAGGATCAAAGCGCTCCCAGCCTGTTCCATACCTCTGGTCAGGGCAGCAGATACACACAGTACAGTTCACCAGGAGGTACCTCTAGGAAAGGCAGGGAAACAGCTACAGCCAGCTCACAGGCAAGACCCAGTATCCCAGGAGCCATATAAGGAACCTGAAAGCTGTGAGATGTCACAAGGACAGAGGCATCACTCTGGACAGGACCAGACTAGGGACTGGCTGGGAGTCAGCTGAGGGCAGTGCAACAGCTAGCAACACACATCTACTCTGGAAAGCTTGCTGGCACTACACACACAAATAGAAATGCATGCTTACATACACATATACATACCTGTCTGCCCTTATATTAAATTCTCATGCTTTTTGGTACAGGTTGAAAAATAGGCAGTAGTCAGGTACAACTGATGTCCCAGAACATTTATGAGACATAAATGATGGTCTCTCTCAGAAATATGATTAATGAAGAAGAAATCCTTTGTGGGCTTTTTGCCATCTCAGCAATTCCCAGTTCAAATTGCCTTATTTAGCATGCACCAGCCTTTGCTTTCGGATTTCTTACAGTTTGTACTGCTAAGTGAAACTTAAAGGCAGAAGCCAAACTCTTGTATTCCCAATGCATGTGCCATCTGCTTGGAAATCAAAAACCCTCAGATGCTTCAAATCAGACCCGAGATCACTGTCAGCTGAAGACAACAGATTAATACTGAGAGAGCACAAACTGGGGCAGAGCGTGGGTTCATGTTAGCGCTTGCTATCTTGTCGCACTGCGGGTGCCAGAAGCATTGCAGGATCCAGCTAATCCCTAAACATAACCCTGCATTTTGAACAAACTGTCAACAAGGATCAGGTTTGTCCATTAAAAGGTTGTTGCACAGGAAAGTCGCTTTTTCGGTGCTGTTTCACTTTAACCTTTATCATCTGTGTTCACACAGACAGACTGAATAGCCAGAACCAGGGAAAGTTTTCCACTAACACACCCATAAATGTATTTTTTCCTCTGAAGCAATGGAAAACTTTTAAGGCACTTAGATGCCACGATGATGAGCATGGCATTAAAAAATGTAGATAGATAAGATAAGGCAGAAGGGGTTGTCTGGCAGGAGTCAGCAGCTGTAATTTGACATGACGATAATTCCCCTTGTGAAGGCTGGGGCAGGGGCAATGTGGCTCTCACATCTTCCATTAGCAGGGCAACAAATACAGAATACTCATCAAAGAGTCCTGTAAAAATCACCCTATCTCTCCAGCCAATGTCTAGAGCCACCAATAGAGTCAAATGCTCTTAAATGGGAAGCTAAGGAGTGTATGGGGCCAGCGTGAAGCACCGTCAGCTCGTCACAGCTGAGACACTATGTGAAAGCGGGGTCACTGATTGAATTAAGATATTGGTGGTAGAAACACAACATGACGAAAATAAGAGATTGTTAGTAAGTACAGACTTTACAGGAAGTAAAAGCAAAAATGAATTTTGCTTGTATGTTAACTTCCTTCTCTCTAGCTATGAAGTTTCAGAGGAAAAAAAAGTTATCATAAAAGCATCTACTGAAAGCAGTGGGCCAGTCCCACCTATATCATGGGTGGGACAAAGAACCCTCCTGTCTCAGCTCTGTGTACCCCACCAGCTTCAGTGGGTTATATGCAGAAATATCCCCCCAGGAAAAGAAGCATCCTATGGTGGAGGAGAGTGCACAAAGGCAATGCTTGCCACATGTTTTGGGGTGGTCTTCCCTTCCCTTCCCTTCCCTTCCCTTCCCTTCCCTTCCCTTCCCTTCCCTTCCCTTCTCTTTTCTTTTCTTATTCCAGCAGACCTTGTGCTTTACTCTTAGGCAGAATGTCTAGGGACCTTCCAGGTTTTGCCAGCCACAAACAACTAGGACACAGTATAAACTGCTGAAGGTCTTGTCACAATTTACCATTACTGCAATTAATAAATAATGCTATGAACCCCACTGCAAAAGACTATATCCTCCCCTGATCCATGCACCAGCATTTCTCTGCATGTTTCAGAAAATTTGGACCCATTTATTCTTACAGTGTTTCTTTACTCACTAAAGGAAAGACATCTCTGCAGCCACAGTCACAATCCATGCAGGAACAAAACTCAGAGAACTAAAACCAGGGAACATTTATCCCTCAGCTCAGCCAAGGATCTTCATTGTTTATGAGGTGAAGTGACTGACCTCACCTCCTCCTGAGCCTCACCAAGGTCTATTTCTCTTCTAGTCCCAATGGGGACTAGAAGAGTTTCCCTTTGCAAGGCTGAGGTAGATTGGCAGCACAACTCAGCAGCCCAGCAGCCCAGCAGCCCCAGGCTCCTCTCCTCTGTAAACCTTCAGTCCTGTCTCTCCATCCACATCTGAGCTGGAGCTCCTTGCTGGCCTGCAGAAGGCAACCACAAGACAAATGGACACAAAGGGAAGTGGAAAGGTCAAGGGCCAATCCAGCTGTTGCTCGGGTAAATTGGTTGGAAGAAACAAAGCAGAATTCCAAAATACTGATATTAATAAAGCCCCAAACCAAACCATAACAGCACCTTGACAGAGTGATCCCCTTTCCCCAGTTTACACCAAAACCCACAGCACCTGCCTCCTTTCTCAAAGTCAGTACTCTTGTTCCAAGGGAAAGCCCAGGTTCTGCCCCCTAAGAGCACCATCTGGAAAAGCCATATGCAGGGAGTTTAATATTTAAGAGTGAGCTGAGCTCAAGGTCTTCAAATAAAAGACCACAGAATCCCTGCTGGCTGGCATTGGCATCCCAGTGCACAGCAACAGATGCTGTTCAAAGCCCCAAATTAATTTCTGCAAAAATAAATGTAGATACAACATATAAATCCTTCCACAACAAAGCTGAGACAGAATTTACTGTAAAGGCACAGCAGAATGTTGCAAGATAGACATAAGAGTTTTATTTGTATTTGTATGCATTTTATTTATTTTATATATATATATAAATGCATATATATAAACATTTTATGTTAGCAAGAGGTTTTAATATGGAAAAGAAATCTTATCTTACTGGGGTAGAAAGGTCAAGGTATTTTAAACTAATTTTTCCACAATTTGTGTCTGACAGAAACTGATGCTGTCTAGGTAAGTACCACTATCTTGGGATGAGCTCAGGGCCAGCAAAACAAGGTGATAAGAAAGGGACATCATCTCAAAACCAATAAATCTCCTTCCCAGATGGCATTTTTATCTGAGAGCGCCAAAAGAAGCTAGACAGGAAATTTGTGGACCTATATAATGGTAAACTTGTTAAGAGTAAGTGAGTTTCTGAAAGACTAACTGCGAGTTAATCTGGTGCCCCTGATTAAAAAAGAACCTCAGCACTTCAGCTAATGTTTACAGCACATATAATAATTTAATCCAGAGCATCAGCCTCACAAATATCTATGAAGGAGATAGCATAACTAGCTTGCATTTTAAAGAGGTCCCCAGACAATGAGCTAAAACTAGGGAGCACAGCAGTGCAAGCACCAAGGCTTTCCTGCATGGATTGAGAGGGTTCCTGTGCAAGGATCTCTGAATAACCCCAGAGTTTAGTTTTAAGGCAAAAATATGAAAGCATGGCATGAGCACTGAAGCTCAGGAGCTTTTCTTCTAAAGCAGACCTTCTGCTGAGTTTCAAGAGGTGAGACCTTGGATCTCTGGTGGAGACTTTCTCATTTCATTGGGATAATGGACCGAAAGGACACCAGGAACCCCCATGAGCAGGCTGTGGGAATGCAGGAGGAACAGTATCAGCTTTGGCTCTACAATTGGTGCCCCTAAGCCTGCAGCAGAGCACAGCCATTGCCCTGCTCAGACCAGTAAATTTCAAGAGGACCACACTGTAGCCACAGGTCACGTAGCTCAAACAAGGAACTCACCCCTCAGTTCTCATAGAAAAACAATCCCAAGCATGTTTCAGATTTACCAGTATCACTGTTGGACAGATTCAAGCAGTCATGATGACCACCTATCAAACTTGCAATGTTGATTTTCCTTAGCAATAGGAGAGAGTAAACAATTATTTACACAGCTATAGAGAATAGAAGCCTTTTTTGTGTACTTCTGCAATTTTAGTGATAAAGTATTTGTACAAGAAGCAGCACACCATTGGCAGAGATAGTCTGTTTTGTTCTTAAAACTGATATTTAACTAATGCTCAGAAATGCTTTTATGTAATCTGTGCTCTCTTACGCTGATGTATTAATAATGAAATTGCAGCTCTCCAAGAAAGTAATGAACATTAACAATGGAAGTGGAATCAGAATCCTATAATGCAAGAAATACTGCTGGGTCAGCTGGACACAGAAGGTGCATCAGTGATTTCAGTAAGAACATGAAAGGACCATAATGATAATGACTCTGGTTGTATTTGCATTGTTAGTGTCTCTCAGACAGAAAGTGCTCTCTGGACTTTATAAACTCCCAGGCCAGGAGATGTCAAGCTCTGGCATGAGGGTGCTTCTGAGGGGCCTCTCTAAATAGGGTGTTAACTGGGTGCAGGATGCTCTGTAAGGCTGGTGTTTGGAACTTAGACCATAACTTAGTATGACACAGCAACAGATCTTCCTCCCAGAAGGTGCTAATCCTTTTGGCTCCTGTGTAGCACCCTCAGAGTCTGGCAGCAGCTACTATGCACCTCCAAGCATGCAAGAACATGGTAGGCGAAACACATAGACGTAAGTGCAGAAATTCATTAAGAAAAAAAGGCAACTATACCTTATATAGTCTTATGCACTCAGTTGTAATGCTGTGTGCAGTTTTATAGACCTGGGAGCTTTTTAATGTTTGCAATATTAATACTGAAAGTGCTGGAAAAAGGTGGGTTTGATTTGCACCCTTCCCCACTTTGAAGGGGTTCTGTGGTCACCAGTAATTATAGATCAATGATCATCAGTATTTCTATAAAACATTACTGACTTAGAACTCAAACTGTGAAACTCAGATATAAATATTCCTAATTTCAGGCTGAAAGGGGTGAGCAGACCTTCTGTATCATAGAACATTAGCAGATCATAATCTTCCTCTACTACACACATTGCATTGAGGAGAGTTTTCTGGTAGCCTGGAGTTTACTGAGGCTTTTTTAATCCTTTCCCTGTCTCTAAACAGATCCTAATCTTCTTTGATTTTCCATGCATGAGTGGTCAGGCTGAATGAGCAGATCTGTTATCAGCTGCAAGGAGTCTGGGCTCACAGCTGTTGACTGATAAGTCCCTCTGCAACACCCCCACTCAGTGCACCAGGTCTTGCTTCCTTTTGCTTATCCCCCCGCAGGAACCCAGGCTGTGTGTGAAGGAGCCTCTACTGAGCCTCTTGTTCCTCTCACCAGCTTCTCTGTGCCTGCCCAGCAGACGTGGGGTGTGATAACACACCAAGCACTGGGCTGCAGTGCTGGATTTTGTTGAAGAGTTTTGTGTTCTAGGGTGGAAATATGAGATGCTTGCTAGCAAACAACATCCATGATTTTGATTCTTGTGCCATTTTTGTTTCTTTTTTTTTAGCGAGAAGAGCACCAGATGCATGCAACTAATAAAGCAAACAAGTAAGCAAGAATACAGCTTACACTACTGCTTTCTCCAGCAAAGTTCTCTGTTTCAGATGTACAGACCGTGACTTGAGACAATGCATTGCCTTGGTGGTTTGATTTCCCAGATTCAAAAGGCAGTATTTCCTGAACAAAGAGCAGCTGAGTGACATCCCAGGAGAAAGTGCAGTGGTAGGAAGAATCTTGCACGCATACACAAAGCAAATCCATGTTTTGCATCAAGGGAATAATTGTCAGCCAAGACCCTAGAGATGGTAAATTGTCTGTTTCACATATACTAATGGGAACTCAAACATTAAGTCAAATAACCCCCCGAGATGATGCAATGTTGAAAAGCAAGTTGTTAACAAAGAGAGGGGCTGAGGGTGCTTCTCCATTTGAAGCGCGCTTCTGTGTTTTCCTTCCAGACTCAGAGGATTAAGGTGATAAAGGGACAGGATTTGCCAGCAGTATTTTAGCCAACAAACACATGGAAACAATGCAGATTGCTTGTACCCTGTTTGCAGATTAATCATTATGGCTTCTCTTTTGTTTGCCTGTTGGTGGGAACTGTGCTGTTCAAGAAATCTTCCCAGATTCCCAGATGTTATCTCTATAAACTTTGTACATAATTTCTATGTAGGAGAAAGAAGGGTAAATGCCCATTTGCCTTTACTAAGCTTGAAAACTTAATATTTCAATGCAGCCTTTTTAACTGCCTTTGTTGGAATTCAAAGTGAGTGTGAAAACTGAAGTTACAGACTTGTACTGTCTTTTGTCGTATAGACAGCAAATCCAATAAATCCCTCTGTGAAGGTGGTAAGCCTAGGAGATGAAGAGATGTAAAACATAGTAAGTGCAGTATTAAAGGTAGAAAGTTTCCACTGTAAAAACTTTTTTTGGACCTAGTAAAATTTTCATAAGATTCAGTAGGAAGAAAAGGATTTGCTTAGCTTTTCCTCCGTACATATTTGTCTTTGATCAGAGGAAGTGAATTGATTTGCATTTTGTTTCTCCTCTGTTTCAGGTACCAGCTCTGAAGCACAAGGACACTCCTGCTTTATTGGAGATCAGTTGTTGTCTTCATAAGAAGCAACACACCAATCATCCAAAATGGAAATGAGGTCAATCTTGCATAAATCTATTCATCCTGAAATGAGCATAGATGAAAATATATATATACATATAAATATATAAATCAGTAAGAGCTGCTGTGATGTATTAACCTAAAGTTAATTTTGATCTTGGAACATACTTTCCTATTTTTCTGACTGCATACTCATGTTTACAGTATATATACACAGATTAAAGATTTTTTGCAAAATCTAAGAAGAGGCTTCACACCAGGGTGCCGACCTTTGAGCCCACACTGCAATACAGGCCCAGGTCCACGATCAGCTCACTCTACTCACCCTTCGCCCATTTGCACTTCAGGCCATCACTGTGCACTTCTTTCACATCTTTGTCATTTCAAACACTACGATGAACAGGTCCTGCTGAGACAGCAGCCACCACAGGACATCTAGATTTCGTCCTTGCCCCTCTATGCATCAGGGTAAGAATACAGCAGACACCAGCCTAAACCCTTAAGAGGGGATTGGAAATGGAGGCATCGCTGCCACAGCACCTCGCCTCTTCCTCAGCACTCTAACTGACTCTGAAGGGTGCCACAAGAGAGTAGCTCTGCTGGATGCTGCCACTGAGACTAGGAGGAGCAAGCCAGGTCCTGTCACATGGTGGGTATGGGGTGGGAAACAGCTGCTTCCAAAGCTCCTCAGCCCCAAATATCTGCTTTGTTCCTTAGATGATTACACCCTGCAGAAAGCTTCCCCACTGCTTTAGTAGAGCTTTTGGGCCATTCTCCCAACATAAATCTATGCCTCACTTGTCAGGAGGAGGAAGGCAACGAGAGACAGAGGAACAATGAGAGTTTCAGACCACCTACTCTGAGATCAGCTACCCTTGCGTGTTCCAGGGAGACAAACACTGCTGAGGCCCAATGCAGGCACTGATACTAGTGAGAAAGGTTTCTGATTTATAGCCTTTGTTTCCATGCTGAAGCTCAGCCAACAGCCATCTCATCTGAGGCTTTTCTTCTAGCCAGGTGCTCATTTCACAGCTCCCCTGCATTCCAAGAGCTGTCTAGTTTAGGTTGGCAACGTTGACTATGCATTTTTATTTTTGCTCTGTTATAGGTAAGGTTTCTCGCTCCAGCAACATTTACATCATGATCTTGCTTTTCCATTGACAGCCCTGTGCATACATAATTCTTTCACAGCATCTGTAAGGCATTGATATCCAGAGCTTTACATAGGAAAGCTTTCTCGTGATCAATCTGTCTCCTGGGTGCTCTCTTGCTCCATTTAAGCTCAGTGGGCCCTTTGCTGGTAACATCAGCTTAGAGTCTACAAGCAAAGCCTCAATAAAGGACAGCTGGTGGTGGGAAGCCTGTTGCTGAAGTTTCCTTGCTTCAGCTTCAGGAAGTGTTGCACTCACAGGTTCTCATCCTGATGGAGGATTTCAATCACCTGGATACCCATTGGGAAAACATCACGGCAAGCTGCAAGCAATCTAGGAGACTTCTGGAGTCCATCAATGATAACATTCATTCAGGTATTGGAGAGACTGACCAGGGGTGAAGTGTTGCTGACCTGGTGCTCACCAGTGCAGAGGAGATCATTAAAGACATCAAGATTGGAGGCAGCCTGGGCTGCAGCTGGTTGAGTTCATGACCTTGAGGAATGTGGGCCTGGCAAAGAGTGGGGTCAGGACACTGAACTTCAGGAGAGTGAACTTCAGCTGTTAAAGGAATTGTTGGACAAGACCTCCTGGGAATCTGTCCTTAGAGACAAAGGAGTGAAGCAAAGCTGGCTACTCTTTAAGGATGCCTTTCTGAGGGTGCAAGAGTTTTCCACCCCTCAGAATAAGAAAGCAGGCTTGGCATGGCTTGGCAAGGACCTGCTGGTCAAACTGATGGGAAAGAAAGGCATATATAGGCAGTGGAAACAAGAGCATGTAATCTCATTACAGCCTTCCAATATTTAAAGGGAGATTATAAACAGGAAGGAAATCAACTTTTTACATGGGTAGATAGTGATAGGACAAGGGGAATACTTTTAAACTAAGAGAGATTTGTATTAGATGGCAGGGGAAGCTTTTCACTGAGAGGATGGTGAGGTGCTGGAACAGCCTGCCCAGAGACGTTGTAGGTGCCCTGTCCCTAGAGGTGTTCAAGACATCTAGGATGGGACCCTGGGCAGCCTGATCTAGTACTTGAAATAGCAGTTGGCAACCCTGCCTATGGAAGGAGGGTTAGAACTTAATGATCCTTGAGGTCCCTTCCAACCCAAGCCATTCTATGATTCTGTGAAACTATGTTTTATAATTCTATGAATCGAAGAGAGTAACACAGCACAGACCAGAGGGTAGCACCTTTTAGTTCACTCTTAAGTCAACGTTGACTTTTGTGAACAAAAACATTCTTTCTGCAAAGCAGAGGCTGCTCCAGTTTTCCTTGTTGCATTCAGATTTGCGACAGCTTCCCTGATAGTGGAAATGACATCCATTTTGGGGTGGTCACTGCCAGGGATCATGCGCTCAAAGAGCAGAAAGACTTCTTGTTTTAGTTGTCCTCCCACCGCTGTTCCTCACTGAAAGGGTGGAAGTTGCAAATACATCTGATGGGCTACACTCAAGCCAGAAGCAGTTATACAGACAGCAAGTAAGCAAATAAGATATATATTAAATCTCACAATGCTATGGTTAGGTTTAATAAACAAGTAACTATAAGCAGTTTCCTTCGCTTTGCTCTATTTTCTATGCAAGTCCCATTTCCTTTTTGCTTTGACCACTGTTTCATCAACTGAATCCCTGCAAAGTAGGGTATACCACACTATTTTGTTTTTGTGGTTTTTTTTTTTAACATACACATACTGCACAGGTATAAGTAAAAATATACAGGGCTGGAAAGTTACACCCTTCAGTTTTATCTGCTCTTAGAATATTCTTTCTTCATGCATCAGACTGTCCAAACTGTTCCCCAGTTTCTCTCATCTATGCATTCTGCAGGTGTTGCATGACAGCTGGGCAGTCATCACAGCCATTTTTCACAGCAGAGGTCAGCACTGCTCCTAAACCTTTCCAGAGAGATTGCTGATAATTGAAAATCATGATTTTAAAGATGACCAAGAACTAGGATAGTCCCCTTTGCATCCCCCAGCCTCAAGTAGAAGAAGGTCTGCAGTCTGTGGGAAAGTCTTACAACCCTCTGTCTGCACAGGTTTCAGAAAGTGACGGTCTCTCCAAAGGGAAGTGTGTGAGCATGAAGCTGGCTCTTGCCTCTTTTAGTGCCTCTGGGGTATTACTGCACCCCAAGAATCTGCCACAGATCACTCAGCATTTCCATTCCCTATAAATTCTGACATTTCAATAGTATTGATTTCCTCCTGCATAAAGGTTTACCACTTTGATACACTATGCTCAAAGGAAGACCCTGATTTGTTGGTTTTTCTTTGTTTGTTTTTTTTCACTTATTTCAGCAGCCTGATGGACAATGGAAATCTTGGTGACACCAGTGGCAGGACAGAGATGAAGTACCAGTACTTATCAAGTACTCTTGTTAGCTGAGGCAAAGACCATGTGTCCCATTTCCCAAACATAGCACCAAACATCCTAGATCTCCATGTGTCTGTCAAATGGAAAAAACAAATAAGAACCTTTTAGCTGACTAACTGAAAAGTTTTTTCTTAATAAAAGTATGCTAAGTACATAGGTAGGTAGAAGAAGTCTTTCCAGACCAATCACTATGCATTTATCTCATTGTCAAATAGTCTTTTTTTTTTTTTTTTTAAATGAGACAGACAATTTAAAAGAGTTTACCCTATTATAGAGCAGCATCTAACAGAGGAGCTTCATCCCCAGCCTATCACTGATCTCAGCTGCATATCCTTACAACTCTGTCATCAGTGGTGATGGTGACTACAGCATCAGCACACTTGGCACAGCCTTCCTCCTGGCTCACACCCTGCTCTGCACTGATGTTTTCCTCTTGCCAGGAAAGGTGTATTATTAAAGCAGAGTGTACTAGCCCTGCAGTGCCTACAGATCCCATGGGACTTCGTTAGAGAATGCCAACTGCTTTCAAGAGCACAAGAATGCTTTCACTCAACAGTGCAAAGGCCAGTTATGCTTACTGGAGAATAAATGTTTATAGGCAGGGAGGAGGGGCTAGGAAACAGCTTTTCTTGCATAAGTCAAGAACCCACATTTTTCCTGGCACAGATAGGCTGCAGGGCAGCAAGGAGCAGCATGCTCCAGGTGGAGACCTTGTTACCACACACAAGACAGCTTTGCACATGCCTTGCACAGAGGCATTTTGATT